GTAAACCAGTATCAATTAGGCCAGCGTGGTGGATGGTATTGTTTGATCTTCCGGGTCTGCTTTCTGTCTAGGTGTTCCATCAGTGGTTGAGAAAGGTGTTAAATTCCCCAATTCGGACCCTGAAATTGTCTTTTCCTCCGTTTCTCTTACACATTTTGAAGCTCTATCATTGGGCGCATATACGTGATCATTATTATGTCTTCCTACTGGGTTGATCACTTTCATCCTTATGAAAACTTTTTGATATCTCTGTTTAACGTTTGTTTTTAAATCTATTTCACCTGATACTAATACAGTCACTTCAGCCTTCTAATGCTTCCAGTTTGCATGGTATATGTTCCCCATCCATTTACTTTCAACCCACCTGTGTCCTTGTATTTAAAGAGTGTCTCTTATAGGCAGCATAGAATCTGGACTATTTTTTTTAATCCACCCAATTTCTTTTAATTGTGGTCTCCATGAATGATTCATGGGTTTCATCTCTCCTTTATTTTTGTTTTCTCCTTGAACCCTCTGACGCTTTCTGCTCATCTGCTCCTCCTTTCTGGCCTTTTGAAATGATTTGAATACTTTCTAGAAATTTAATGTTACTTTTCCTGTTAGCTGTTGACCCGTTCTTTCTTGTATTATTTTTACAGTGATGGCCTGAGAGATTACAACACCCATCCCAAATATTTTTACACTCCAACGTATAGTTATAACAATACTAGAAGCCCAGCGCGTGAAATCATGCAGCCCTGCCCACCCCCGTGCACCCGTACAACCCCACGTGCAGCCCCGCCCACCCGCGCTGGTCTTTGGTCGTTATGGTGTTAGGGCCACAGGCCTTTTATAATATAGATACCACTTCACACAGAATATAGAAATCTGGGCATTTTACAGACCCATCACCACCATCATCCTTTAAGGTAGAGTTGTTAGAAGTAACACCTTTACACGCGTCATAAATCCCTCAAGACAGTGTTATCATGTTAAGTAGTTAAAGCTTTATAAAGAAAATAAAGGGGGAAAGGCCAAAACAAAACATAAGAAAACAAACAAACAAAAACTCAAACCAAAACACAAACCCTCAAGTCTTTTGCCTTGTGCCAGGCACTTACCTTCTGAGGCTGGGTTTCCGCCTGCTCTCGCTTCTCCTCGGTCTGGCCTGGAGCCCAGCCCTGCCAGCCCCAAGGAGACTCGGCCCACGTGTGGCCTCTGCTCAGTCCTGAAAGCCTTCGCCATCCACAGCCTCTTGTGGGGGGAGCCTCAGGTGCAGAGAGTGGAGGTGATCACATGCCTCAGTTCTCAGCAATAAACCATTGTTTGGGTTATTTTCACTTTCCCGCCTTGTCCCACATCCCCTCTCAGATCCCACTCTGCCCCGTGAATATGGACCCTTGAGAGGAAGGAAGCCTCCGGAAGATGGCGCTTCTAATGGACCAACATGGGTCTCAGTGGCAGAATGGGCTCCCCTCCCACCTCTCCTGCTCAAGACTTTACCCTCCCCTCCTCCCCACTTCTCCCTGGGAACCACCACCTGGCTGTCTGTGTCTAGGAGTTTCAGTTTTATACCCCACACTAGAGGCCCAGTGCATGAGATTCGTGCACTCGGACGGGGGTCCCTCAGCCTGGCCTGTGCCCTCTCACAGTCCGGGGGCCCTCAGGGGATGTCCGACTGTCGGCTTAGGGGAGCGGGCCTAAGCCAGCAGTCGGACATCCTTAGCGCTGCCGTGGAGGTGGGAGAGGCTCCCGACACTGCTGCTGCACTCGCCAGCCGTGAGCCCGGCTCAGGGCTTCTGACTGAGCGTCACTGCTCCTGTGAGAGTGCACTCCTGCATTGAGCGTCTGCCCCCTGGTGGTCAGTGCGCATCATAGTAACTGGTCGTTCCGCCGTTTGGTCGATTTGCATATTAGCTTTTTAGTATATAGGATATGACTGAAATCATATGGTTCTTGGCTTTCTTTGACTTATTTTGCATAACACAATCTTCTCAAGGTCCATCCATGCTGTTGCAAACGACAGCATTTCCATTTCTCGTGTGACTGGATAGTAACCCATTGTGTACATGTACCACACCTTCTTTATCCAATCGGCTACTGAAGGGCACTCGGTTTCCACGTCTTGGCCACCGTGACTAATGCTGCAATAAACATGCGGGTGCAGATATCTTTGAGAATAAATGTTTTCAAATCTTTCAGGTAATTACCCAGAAGAGGGATTGCTGGGTCATATGGTAACTCTATTATTATTATTTTTTTAATCCTCACCCAAGGATCTTTTTTCCATTGATTTTTAGAGAGAGTGGAAGGGAGGTGGAGAGACAGAGGGAGTAACATGGATATGAGAGAGACCCATGGATTGGTTGCCTCCTGCAAGCACCCCTACTGGAGCCAGGGATCAAGTGTGCAACCAAGGTATGTGCCCTTGACTGGAATTGAACCCACGACCCTTCAGTCCGAGGGCCAACACTCTAACCCAGTGATGGCGAACCTATGACACGCATGTCAGAGGTGACATGCAAACTCATTTTTTTGGTTGATTTTTCTTTGTTAAATGGCATTTAAATATATAAAATAAGTATCAAAAATATAAATCTTTGTTTTACTATGGTTGCAAATATCAAAAAATTTCTATATGTGACACGGCACCAGAGTTAAGTTAGGGTTTTTCAAAACGCTGACACGCCGAGCTCAAAAGGTTCGCCATCACTGCTCTAAGGGGTGCCTGCGCATTCCCATTTAATCCTAGACACAGCACTGCAATAGGTCCAATCAGTAGCCCCATTTCAGAGATGGGGAAACTAAGGCATGGAGAGGATACACAACCTGCCCAAGGTCACTGATCAAGGAAGTAGCAGGCTGGGACCCGGGCATCCTGACCAGAGCCCTTAACCATGATGCCTCCGTGGCCCAGGGACGTGGGGGCAGGGCCTGCGTCTTTGGGTTCTGAGGCTCCAGGCACTTGGGGGTCCTCCATGAATGATCCCCTTCATAGCCACCTTAACTCCCGCCATCTGCTCTGTCCCCCGAAGTGGTTTTCTGTCTCCCCTCCCTGTTTGATAGGTAAGTTGCACACATCCTGGGATGTCCCCATGTTGTTGACCTACTTACCCAACCATCTTCCTCACACGTAAGGGTGGCATGTCTGGAAGGAAGCCTGTAGCCCACTGCAGGCAGAATGAATAAAACACGACTCCACTGCTCAGAGGCCCGGCAGGATGGCATTTATCTAAGTGGCTTTCCAAGAAAACTGCTCCTGTCCCCCTCCCCCCCCCCCACACGGCCCGCCCCCTAGAAGGGCCTCCAAAGCTGCCGCTGCGTCAGGAGGGTGCTGGGTTCTCTCCTCTTTGTTAAATGGAGGGACCTTACCTCTTGGCCGTGAGCATGACAGCTCCAAACGGCCCCAAACAAGCATTCTTCCTGCCAACCATCCCTCTCTGTTTCCCTTTTCTTTTCTTGTTCAATTAAGCCTATTGGGGTACTATTGGTTACATCACCG